AGTGCGTGTGCTATTCTGCCTGAGAATTTGACTATACACTGTCTGTTTTCTTCCACTTTACACTTTAAGTCTGCAAACAGTGATTGTATCCAGTCAAAAACACTTAAGTTGACTGCATTTCCATCCTGGCTTTTTATTTCAATACAGCAACTTTCTGACAAAATTTATGGTTTTCATGATTTTTTATAAAAGTACTGGACTGAAGTGTATAATTAAAAGAATTTTATTTCACATAACATACATAGTGATACAGTAGTACTGTAACAACAGAAGACAAGGGCCAGGCAACAGATCGTTTATTAAGGAAATCAAAGCATATTTATATATTTTCATGTACATTATTATAGATTAGTTAAGCAAACAAACACAGTCTTCTGATTGGTTGTTTCTCACTTAAAGTTAATCTTTCATCTCTTTGTGACTGTTTCTTGAATGTCAGATCATCTATATGTTAACTGTATCCGCCTACGCAAAGTCTGCTGTGGTCGGTTTTTGAATCAGTCTTGTTCATATTTTCTCACGACCAATCTTGAGAACGTAAACATTGACGTCAATTACTGTCTACCAATTTGGCTAGTAGACAGCTCTCACCACAGTATATATTCACCTTAGGTAGAACTAATAATAAAATCATGATTTGGAGTAGCATTAAGACCTATAAATTCACACGGGACCCCATTGACTACACTGGACAAAATAACTTGATCTGTAATATACATGCGAATGACCGGGAGGTCAAATATGTTGGTCAGTTTAGTAGACAAACAGCAGTTAGATTATCTCAGAAGAAACCTTAGCATGTGCAGTGGATGCACTAGCACATAAAATGGTGGAACAGAGGCACCGTTCCAAAATGTTATATAGTTAGGTGTAGGGAGAGGGTGATTACTCAACCCTTGTTCACTGAGTCTACACTTAACTCGTATAAAGGGAAATGATTTATTTTATTTTATTTATTTTGATTTACAGCTTGATTCCACACCGTATTTTCAGTACAAGTGTGGAATTTTCAGCATGGATATCGGTGGCCCAAATTCAGGCCGACCATAGATATCGGGTGTGCGCCGGCAGGGGATCGAACCCCGGACCATGTGCATGGTCGGCGAGGGTCCTAACCACTGTGCCACCGACGCACGATACAGTACTGATCCTAGAGATACGCGAAATTTTACTACCATTAAAGTCAAATGACAAGAAATAGTGGAGCTGGGATTATAGCTGTTGGTTGTTATAGTCGAGAATTTAGTCTGTGTGGGTTAATTTCGGGCGTACTTGTGTTTCTCAATTTTTTTCCGTTGGTTCTCTTGGCTAAAACTTCTAAGAAAGGAATTTTCTTATCTAATTCTGCTTCTCTTGTGAATCTTATGTCTTCAAATACGTTGTCGATTAATTTGCAAGTTCACTCTGAGCCGTTTCTTCTAATTATTACAAATGTCCAAGTGTTGGTTTGTAGGGATTTGGTTGATTGGTTACAGGATTTCATCATGAGCTGACATTGGTTAGAGAACCATTGGAAAACCTGGGAGTACTGGACGACTGTTTCGTCCTGGTTTGTGACTCTTCATCAGTACGCACCCACCGGGGTTGGAACATAGGACCTTCTGGTTACAAGGCGAGCTTGTAGACCAGTCGTGACCAGTAGGGTGCAGCAGGTCAGGTGTGAGGACAAATACTCGCCGAAAACATTGGCTAGTGGTCGCGCTATGTCGTGAATTGGCAGAAGTTAGAATTCATGGGCTAGCCGTTAGATCAGGTTTCAGCGGCTCAACGGTCTACGAGCTAGGCGGCCTTGTAACCAGAAGGTCCTGGGTTCCAACCCCAGTGGGTGAGTAATGCCGATGATTCTCAAACTGGGATGTAACAACTGTCCCTGCAGGTTTTCCAGTGGTTCTCTAACCAATGTCAGCTCATGATGAAATCCTGTATTACAAATGTGTTATTTACGTAACGCTTATCCAGATTTTTCGTTTGATTATTGGTAGAGCTATAGTTTTGTAGTCAAATATTAAACCATCAGTTAACAATCCTTTGAGGTTGAAATTAGCCGAACAATACTGAATTATAATCTACTACAGTCTTTAATTCTTAACTGATAAACATATAATTTGGCTGTTAAACTTATGCATACTCTTTCAGGCACTTTAATACTTTAATAAAAAACTTAATATGTCATAATTTCTGCCTGCATTAAATCATATTCTGTAGAATACAAAAAAAGAATATGAAACATTCTTGATTCTTTCGCTTGTTCAGCCTAGCTAATTCAATTATATATATATGTCTTGTATTAGTGTCAGCATTTCCCTAGACATTTACCACACAGATAAGCAAGATATATATGAGGCTGAAAAAAGACAGACAACTACAAAAAGCAGTGAACCATGTCAAATCCTGTTACACATTGATGAATTGAGCAGTGATTTCGCCTCATAATTCAGTGTGTGTTTTGTTTTTTCAAGATTTATATTTTTTGCTTAGGAAATTTTATCCCATTCAAACGAATTGCAATTTATTTGTTTCATACGCTATTTTGTTGAAGATGGTTTATTTTGGAAAGATTAACGGGTGGAAAATATATCTGACGGAAGAGGTAGTCAGTGAAGACACGACGTCAGTTAAACATGGGGAAGATAGAAGTGATGAAGATGGCCAACTAACTAAAACAACACAACAGGCATCGATCACTGTCAACAGGAAAAATTTGAAGGAAGTCACTTCTGTCACTTATCTAGGCAGCGTTGTTTTAATTACAGGTGTTGCAAATGACGATGTAGAGGGCAAGATTGAAAGGAGAAGATAGCCCTTACTTACTTTAAAATGTATACGGTAATCAGCTGCACTCACTGCATAGAACAAGATCCGTATTTTCAAAACTAATGCCAAATCAAACACTTGGCGCATCATCAAAAGGACTTGCATTGGTCTACTGCAGGCTGTCATCAGCAGCTAACTTAGCCTGGTAGTGAAGATCAGATAGCCAGAAAGTATTGGCAACAGGGCACTATGCAGTGCGACAGACCAACTATCTGCCTACTTCCCAAAAAATATGCCGACGAAAGTGGAGATAGATAGAACACACGTTGGCAGGCCGCTGAATGACATCTTACACTGGACAGTCCATCACACAAGTGGAACCCAAATGAGAAACAACGAGTTGGACAACAGTGAGAGGATAACACGGAGCAGGTCGCGTGAAGAGGAGATGAAAGCTCATGGATAACAGTGAAGCCGTATAAAGATGACTGAGGAGGACAGGACAATATGGAGATGTGGTGTTGAAACCCTGTCTTCCACTTGGAACCTAGAGGAATAATAACACCACTGGAACCAAGAGGGTGCGTTTGATCCACCTGGTGAGTTCCAAACAGGACGAAACACTCCTTCTGGATTCCAGTATGAACCACTCTCTACCAAACTACATCATGTTATCCTGGATGCATTTGATTTGGGAGCCAACATGTCGGCAGAGACGCAGAGTTTCGGTCCTATAAAAAGAATAAATGGGAAATTCACAATCATTCCGATAAATATATCCTTCATATTAGTTTGTTGGTGAAACATTCCAGAATGAATAGAATAACAACATGTATATATTGGAAGTTATCAGCTGGGTGCACTTGCTCATTGTTAAATGTTGGCTTTCCTGCTGCTATTCTAACTCAGCCTCTGTCGTGTTGAACATAAGAGCCACCTCTACTGAGCTCCACCGTAAAACAAGTCACATCGAGTTAGTAATCCTGATAATATCGATGTTTTCATGCAGCAAGCTTATTTACCTGAAGTGAGGTTTATGAGACAACAGTCCATTTCCCGACATATGCGATTTCAAGATATTCACTCTTCCTTGTCATTGCTTTATTCTATAATAACTAAAATGTTGTTGAGATCATCTGAGAGAGTGATGGATCTGACTGATACTGGACGACGATTAACGGTTAGATTAAAATCTGAGTACGGCTAAGTTCATATTAGCGGCTTCTGTATTACTGCTCATCCAGTCTAATATTTAAGATATAAGATCTAGCCATTAGTCAAGTTTTTCTCACATTGCATCAGAGCTTTTCACCTCGACTGGTTTAGAGTTCAGATAGTAATACCTAAAGTGCTGCGTTGTACCTAACGATCACCCAGTTTTTCATTCAGTCATCACCAGTTGCTAAAATAATTAGTAAAAGCATAAAGTAAGCGTTGAAGATATTGTCTAGAAAGTCAACGCATGCTGTGCAATTAAGCCACTCAGCTTAGAGAAGACAACATCAAAAACACCCACTTGAGGTACACATCTTCTATACACTTTCGGAAAGTCTTTCCATTTAGACGGCTGAGTTTATAAGGTACACACTACTGCACTTTTATTGCGCCAGTTAAACAAGTTTGTTCAACTAGTGACAGTGTTGAATTATTATTATTCCCTTGGGTTCCGAGTGGAACAGAGGACATCTCCACTTTGTTCTTTTTCACTTCATCTGGGCTCACGATTGCCCATAATCTCTAATCTCCTCCTCTCATGATCTCCTCCATTTCATCTTTGGACGACCTACTCGTCGCTTCTTACTCAGGTTCAGCTCAAGGGCCTGGCGTGCGATCTTGCTAGACTGTCTCCTCAGCGTGTGTTCAGTTCATCTCCATTTGTTGAGCGATAGGTTCTTCTTTAGTTTGTTCCTAGCCAGAGTTTCTTGTTGCTAACTTTGTTTGGCCATTTGATCTTCAGTGTAGAGCGGAGGCAGTTGTTGATAAAAGTCTGCAATCTTAAATGCTCTCGTGACTCTCTGGACAAGTTTCTGACCCATACAGAAGAACTGACTTTACATTTGTGTTGAAAATCCTAATGTTGTTCTTTATGCTATGTGCAGAAGATTTCCAAACCGATTTCAGAATAATGAAGGACAGAGTTGAATGCGGCATTTTGAAAATATCTATTTGCAAATTACTATGCCTCAAATATTGTTTGCTCTAAAATTCACATAAATTTCATGATTGTTTTGCAATCTCTGTTTCAGGTATGTGTTTCCTCCAATCAATCAACTACCTGATGCATTTCGTGATGTACTGGAACATTTAAAGTAGGTGATCTGAATTTAATCTGTTCTTTTTCCATAAATATATGAAGTTATTAACATATATTGCTATTAAAATTAATTTGCCTGCATAATCACATGTGTGTGGGTCAGCGGTTCAATCGTAGAATGCTCTCCAGCCACGCGGGAGGTCCAGGTTCGATTCCCGGCTAAAATACGCATAAATCTTACCTAGTTTATTAACCGGTAGTAAGTTCAGGAAAGGTGGAGGGTTGGACATGAAGCTAACAACGCCAATCCATGAAAACGGTACCACTGTTAGTGAAACTTCAAAAGGCATAAAGCCCGACATCCCACTTGAGAAACAGGGAATGAATGAAAAAAAACAACTACATAAAGATTCACTATGATAAACACATCTACTGCAGTAATTTATCGACATGGATTAGGTTTTCACTGAAGGCATTGCTTGAAGGTAGCATTATTTCTCCAGTTGACAGAATTTAGAATTCACAAATGACTGACTAGATTCCTGCCGAAGTAGCTAGCTGACTGCCAAACGACTTTTGTCTCATAACCAGTGGGTCTTGGGTTCGTTCCTTGCTGGACGCTTGGATGTTCACTGTCCAAGAGGATGAAACAGATGTCCGGTGCTCCGTGTTTTTCACTGATCTATTATTGATACTGTTTCCTAATGAAATCAGAATGGAAGTTAATCCTGATGCCTACAAAACCAATAATCGTAAGATAACACTTGCTTGCATCAGACGATTCTATGCTGTGCTCGCAATTCGGGCTTTGAAGCAGCGTTGTGAGCACAGTTTGTTGTTCATAATCTCAGCATAAATTATGGTTGCAAAACTTCAAAAGACGGTTTTCATATTCTTCTCTCTTCTTTCTCATTCGTCATACTGGTAGTGGAACTTACTAGACGTCTGTGACGGGTGTCGAATCATTCTTATTACACGTATCTACAGTTGATTTGATAAATAAATCGCCTCTTATCAACCTCTCGTTTTTCTTCTGCTCAGTGAGGTTTCTGTTTATTTCCCGGGGTTGGACCATGCCCAACCTTCTCCCTTTTTCTGTGATAAGGACAGGCTAGTATACTATAGTGAAATATTGCTTAGCAAGTATGCCAAAGAAAGTGGAGATGGATTAGACACATGCTGAGGAAGCCGCTAATTGATGCCGTGCGCCCGACCCTCGAGTTGACCCTGGATGGGAAACATCGAGTTGGGCGTAGACCAGAGCAAGGCATGGAAGAGACTGTGTGATGAGGGAATGAGTGCTTATAGACAATCGTGGGGTTACCTAAAGGTGACTGAAAAGACAACAGGATAAAGCGGCGTTGTGCTGTTGAATCCTTGTGTTGCGCTGCAGTCTGCGGGAATAATAATTGTATCAGTCTCTCCCTTCATCCTGTTATATTGGACTTTAAGACTGTACTCTTGCTGCATGCTGTTGTATGGTTGTTTTTAAGTTCGTACTATGCTATATCTAAGCTTTTCTCCGCATTTCCTACCTATGGTAATATCTGCTACTGAAGATTTCGTTAATTTCTTGTGTTCAGCTGATCCGCTTTATCTGTTTTTACTTCTCTAACCTGTGCGGGGTATTATACAGAGTAAATGATTCTGTTTTTAATGGGCCACAAAGGATGCTTTAGCCAACAGCAGTTTGTTTCTTAGTAAGTTTGCGGATATGAATGTTACTGTTACTCCATCCTTGTTGATGATCCTACACAAGGTTCCAGAAGTTCTTTCTTTTAATGGTATCACTCTTCTTCTACTTTCAAATCCATGCTGAGCGTATATATTCAGCGTGTATGAATTTAGCAAGTAAGCCCGCACCAACTGTCATACAGGTGACATTTTTACAAAAGCTGATTGCACTGAGTGGACATGCAGACTTGAGTTCTTTAGCTAATAATTTAACCAACAAAAAATAAGGCATTTGAATAAATAATTTATTTGCGGCCTTACAGATAAAAAAATAAAATCAGCCCACTTGGACAGGATGCATAGATTACATATGGCAGCTTAGAAAAATAACTACTGCTTCGAAGCAATCATTATAGATTGGGCTGTGAATAGCCTTCAGTCTGCTCCAATGTGTAATTTGCTTAAGTCAATAAGACCAAACCTCCATTGTTTAGCCACTGATTACATGAAACTGATTACAATTTGGTAAACAAATTGAGATTTTCTCAATGTTTATCCAAAATGTTTACCTTATCCCCATTTTCTGTCTTGTTAACTTTATAATGTCTTCCAGTGAGTTGGTTAGTTAGTCAGTTAGTGAGTGTTTGTGTTTAAAATTTTATAACGGGAATAGTTTTCTCTTCCTCTGTATGATTGATTTCTTCATACTGTTTACTGAATACGAAGGTAGGGCGGGGGGGGGGGGGAAATTGTTTTCATGATTACTTCTGTTTGATAAATCAACTGCATCGGATAAGACAAGTAGTGATGGATAGTCAGAAATATTATTTATCATTGAATCGGAAGGCGAGAAACACATTCATCAACCTAAAAACAATCTGGAAATTTCCGTCACTCAGCATCAACAACAAAATTCGGATTTTCAATACAAACGTCAAGTCAGTCAGTTCTTCTATACGGATCAGAAACTTGGCCAGTGCGTCACAAAGAATATTTCCAACAGGTTGCAGACCCTTATCAACAACTGTCTTCGCTGGCTCTATACTGAAGATCAGATGACAGGCCGGAAAGAATCACCAACAAGAAACTATGGGAACAAAGAAAACAAGAACCAATCGCTCAACAAATATGCAGGAGAAAGTGGAGATGGATTGGACACTCACTGAGGAGGAGGCCAATGGGTGACATCGCGCGTCAGGCCAGTGTTCGAGTGGAACCCAAAAGGGAAGCGGCGAGTGGTACGTCGTGCAAGGGTGACATGGAGGAGATCGTGTGAAGAGGAGCTGAAACAGTATGGACTAACATGAATGCAGGTGAAAAGTACAGCAGAAGACAGAAGCAAGTGGAGACGTGCAGTTGAAGCCCTATGTTCCACTAGGAACCCAAGGGAACAATAATAATAAGCAAGAATCATCATACGACTACTTTTAGACCGGATAACTCAAAATAACTGAAAGTATTGGTTCAAAAAAAAGATATTTTGGCGATCTGTTGACTTTAAAGTCACTTTACATTACTCAAGGAGAAGTTTGGAACTCTTTAGCTGTATGCATACATGATCGATGTTGGCAGAAGAAGCATCAAAGATAGGACTTCAGGTGAACATAGAGAAAACAGAGGTGATGAAGATTCCTGGGCAACACCACCAACAGCAACAACAACTACAACAGACAACAATCAGCATAAATGGGAGGAACCTGAAAGAAACAACCTCCTTTACCCACCGACCTTGGAAACATCGTTTCAACTACAGGCGGACGGAACTGACGAGGATATCAAAGCAAGAATCGGAAAAGCAAGACAAGCTTTCACTACTCTCAAGTCTGTGTGGAGGTCAACAGAACTCAGCATCAAAAATAAGATCCGGATTTTCAACTCCAATGTGAAGTCAGTGCTACTATACGGATCAGAGACTTGCACTGCGCGTCATAAAGAGCACCTCAAACAAACTACAGACCTTCATTAACAGCTGCCTTCTCTCAATACTCAAGATCAGATGGCCGGCCAGAAAAGATCAGCAACAGGGATCTCTGGCAATGAGCGAACCAACCCAGCAGGAACCGATTGTGCAACAAATAAGCAGGAAGAAATGGAGGTGGATTGGAGGCCATACTCTGAGAAATGAAACCATCAAGTGACATCACTAGACAAGCCATTGCTCGAGTGGAACCGGAAAGGGAAGCGGCGAGTTGGTCGTCAGTGCGAGGGTGACTTGGAGGAGGTCATGTGAAGATGAGATGAAAGCATATAGGCAGACTTGGAGACAGGTGAAGACTCTAGCAGAGAACCGAACTCAATGGAGACGTGTGGCTGAAGCCCTATGTTCCTCTAGGAATTAAAGGAAACAATAATAATAATAGATGATCGATGTACTAGGTCAACATGGAGTGCATAACTCACCTGAGACACAACTTTGCAGATACTACGGGATTCAGGGTGCCGTTGATAATTAAGTTTAATGTATCTAATGGTGGGTTTATGATATTCTTGTTGACTGGTCGCTTATTTCTGACGTAATAATTAACAAAGATGTAGCTACAGAGTGTTTGGTCACTTGCACTGGTAAAGACTTTTAACTAACAGTTTGTAAATTAGTTAGGGAATTCGGCAAAATGAATTCGAGAGGATTATTTCATAACAGTATCCTTTGGAAGCGGAGCTTATTCATGTCAAAATATATGATCTACATGGTAATATGAATGGCAGTCAAGAAAGCAGACTTAATCACATGAGGCTGTATACTAGTGATTGTCGAGAAGGAGTATATACCGCTCATGTGAACCAGAAGAGCTTACCTGCCAGCCGGATTGTAATGATCAGAACACCTGATGGCAATTTTATTCGTCTGGCGAAGAAAGTATCATCAATGTACCAGTTTGGACTCAGAGAAGCAAATCAATTCAAACCGCATGATTTCGGAAGGTTTAAAAAAGTGGTCTACAACTACCCAATCAATTAGTGGAATGTAGTTTTATGCAAACATGCTTGCTTTCCTGATTACCATTTATGGTATCATGTAGATCATATAAGTGGCTTCCCAATGGAAAGTGTGGTGAAAATTTCAACCCTTTAGCTGTTCACATTGCAAATTAGCTGTCTTTGATCATAGATGTCTGCGTTCTATCTCCTGTGTGAAGTGGTATAATAAGGTGAGCAATATTGAGGTTAGGCACGGGTCGCGTGCTAGGTAAGGAGGGGAAATTAATTGACGAGGCTGTGAAATTACATCGACTGAGATGATTAGGACATGTGTTACGCATGCCTAGTCATCGCCTTCCTCGACGGGCAATGTTAGCTGAAATAGGGTCAGGCTGGAAAAGAGCTAGCGGCGGTCAAGCCAAAACAAGGCACCAGTCAATGAGGTCTACAACAGTTAGTCTA